CAAAGTTCTTGTCCAGAGAGCATAGTACTGAAAGACTTTTACAGCATTATATCATTCTCAGACCCACCTAACTGTGACTTTATTCAATATCAACTACATATCAAGTACCTTATTTTTGAAATTAGACACATAAATATTCACACGGTTCCAACTGGATCCATATGGAACTGTGTGCATGATGTTGTGTGTGTGTAAATTAAATGGTATTTGTGAACTCTATCTGCCTTTGTTGACCACAAAACTGAAGACAGTCATGTTCTAAGCTGACCAGAATTGCTGTTCAGAATCAGTTCCACCACATTATATATCTACTATGAAACTATCTTCTTCTACCCTCTTTCTTCCCCATACATCTTGTCACAATAAAGATCTGGGTATTTTGTGTCATCATTAGTAATTTGATGCTGTAAACTACTGGGGTATGAAAATATACTACTCTCTTTGTACTAGGATTCTGCTTTTGCCATATTCTTTATTTGAATGTTTATTTTTCAGCCATTAGGTCATCAGTGATAGCTGTGAGAGTTGGTCATCAATGACAGATGTGAGAGTTACTCTGAGGAGACCATATTCCTCTTGTGGTCAGATTTGTGTTTAGATTTTAAGTCTGAGGGTAAAAGAGCTTGGAAATTTTTATTTTTGGTTCAATAGCCCAATATTTCTTTAGATTGTTCTCAGCAGATTTTTGGCCCTAAGTAGTGGCATGTGGCACAAACTGACTTGTGAGATTTTTTTGTGTTTTGGATGTCGGAGGTCTTGTGAGATCATCTATTTTTTCCTAGGATTCCTGCCATCTTGAGCCAAAACCTCATGAGAATAGTTGTTCTTGGAACATTATTTTTAATATGAAAACCAGAATGAGAAAAATAGGCCTCTCTTGGTTTTGGATTTACCCCACAACAAAACCTAATACTTTCTTTAAATACACATATTCTGATCTGAGGTCTCCTTGCTATCCCCCCTCTGTCAACAAGCATAAAAGGTGCTTTAATTTCAAGATAAATTTTAAGGCTCTTGCAGCAGATTCTGAATGGAATCATATTCCATGGGTACTTTCTAGACTTCGTGAGTTCTTTCTTTTTACTGTTTTTGGTTTTGTTGGTTTTTGGTTGATTTTTTTGGGCACTTTTTGTTGGGTTTTTGTTTGTTAGGCTTTGTTTGTTTGTTTGTATTTTTGTTAGTTTTTTAGTTAAGAGCTAAATGTTACATACCAATTTAACACAACACCTGTAACTGTGTAACATGGTATTTGACACTTTCTGCCACCCAAAAGCAAACAAATTGTTTTCATTGCTAGCTATTATTTGTTAGTTATTAATTCTTATGAGAAAATGAAAAAAAAAGACATTCAAAACTTTTGAGGAGAGACAACAGAAAACTGACAATAGATTATTCTTTATCAGACAGCAGAAGCTAATGTCACAAGAAATATATTTGGCCAAGAAACTAATTTTTTTAAAGGATCATGCTAAGTATATAGCTAACAAGACTATCTCAACGTAATGTTACTGTTAACAACAGGTTTTGATGCAAAAGCAGAATCTGCAAGTAAGCCAATCTGTGGGTATTTAAGAGAGGAGGAAATTTTTATTTGTGGGAGAATTTTTTTTTCAGTAGCTGTTAACTATTTATTGCAGAGCTTTTCTCTTTAAGTTAGCTTCTATACGCAAATGTGTTGAATTAGGTAGACATTCACCTGATCCACAAGCTCATTTTTCAGATTCCTACATAAAAAACAGGAGAATACTCATAAAATAACCAGCTGAGAACAACAGCCAAACTGCCTAGGACTTCTACACTGAAGATGGCCAACTTGTCCTTTGAGCTAAATTTGACTTCTAGTCATTCAGGTGTGCCTTCAGTGTTGGATCTAACTTCTCTGACCACGGACAGGTGCCCACTGATGTGGAGGGTCTTCTCTAAGTTGAATCTCCAGCTCCAGCTGACAGCATTCTGAATGATCAGACTATCCTCAGTGGAGGAATGGGAATTGGACTACTGTCATGGTCAGTTCTGCTCCCTAATCAGGTCCCAGAATTTCCCCACTCTGGCTCTTCAACAATTACAGCTTGGGCTGTGGGGAGAAAAAAAAAAAAATAAAAATGAAAAAAGGAGCTTTCTGTGTCAGGAAAGTTAAAATCTTTCTTCTAAGCCATAATTACCAACAATCTCAGCCATTGTTCTGTAATGAGGCTTGATGTTTTAAAATACAAAGACGCACATTTAAGATATAGAACAGTGTTGCTAGGTTTTGTGTGTTTTTCTTTTAATTCTAGAAATTATTTTCCTTTATTTCATATAAATCTGAAGGCAGGAACTCATTCTAGATACGTAAGTGCATGCAGGATGGACATATCAAAAGGAATTAATCTATACAGGTATAGATAAAAGAAGCAGGAATAGTTGTATATACGTAGTGGATGTGTGAGAGAGAAGACAAAAGGAAAGGAAGAAGTCAAATGCGAATAAAAGAGAATATGAAAATACTATTGTTTTATGTTAATACTATGGGAAACTAAAGTACTTTAAGATCCTCAAATGTAAAATACTAGGTAAGGATAAAGCTTTTTTTTTTGTCTAAAATTTGAGTTGAGTCAATGCAGTCTGGAAGCAGCTTCTAAATATTATTATATGAGACTATGGACACAATTTCTGCCAGGTAGCATGAATTTCAGTGTATTGCTGTGTTATTAAAAGCAACCAGCAGTGTGAACCTGCTGTATTATTAACATGCTACATTAGCCTCAATAGTTAATCCAGTATTCAGATTCATATTGTGGTCTCTTCTTCTAAGAGACAGCAACTGCTTTCTAAATGCTTTTAAGATTTCCAGGAATAAAATTAAAGCATGTTTAAGTACTTGTTGGAAATTGTGTGTAGAATTCTGAATAAGGAAGTTATTGCATTGTATCAGGACCTTAAGAGATTCAGCTGAGAAATAAATTATGTAAACAATGCAATATGTGTGTGTGTCTACAGCTGTATATCAATATCACCTATATCTATGTATACAAATATCCTATCCTTTTCTGTCAGTCTGGAATGTGTTATACTGGAGACACTGAACCTTTCAAAAGAAAAGCAAGACATGTTTTTAATGTTGATTCAGAATTCAGAAGCAAAACAAAAGCTGGATAAATACTTCATTACATTTTATAAACAATCTGCTTTCTGATAATTATTATGGAGTAACTTTTTATTCTCTTTAATGAAGTTTGACTCTGAATGCATATGTGGGAAATTAATTTTGGTGAAAGAATTCAATTCAGAGTAATGCATCCTGAATGAGATTTGTTGAAACCCACAGGGTGCCTGCAGTTACAGTGAGAAGGTCCAGTGACGGCACAGGAGAGGAGGACAGTTGCCAGTCAGAGGTTGTGAGAACAACCTACCTCTGCCCCTCAGCTCTGAAGGGAGTTGTACTGGATCTACATGAAGGCCCCACAGTCAGCTTGGCTGTAGTTTCGGATTGGATTTCCTCTCTGCAGCTGCTCCACGCTCCACTTGCACGAAGTCCAAACATCTGGGTTTAATGTGAGCAGAGTGGATTTCAAGCTTAATTCTTCTCTTTGTCTCTCTGTGTCTGAGTATGTGTGTGTGTGAAATAATCTTTCTTGAATACTTTATTGCTTTCCTAAATCTTTCATTAATTTTGTATCCTTACAATTTATTGTGATAAGAGGTGCACAATCAGTAAAGAGCCTTGTATCCTGCTCTGCTTTCAGAACATACAATTATTTGCATTGTCCAGAAAACAGATGGATGTCCTAACTGAAATAGTGTCGATCATCAATATTTTTTTTTACAACTTGTTCTAACGTAGGTGCTTCAGGTGCAGAAATCCCGTCCGATGACATTTTTTTTCCCTCCAAAAAAGGATTAAGTAGGAAAAAAAAGTCATTTATAGCACCATAAAGACTGATTTTTTAACTCTGCCTCTTGGCAGTGTTATATCTCCCCCTCCATTTATGATGTTCTATGTTTTATATAGATTGGGCACAATATTAAACCTCATGAGAGAGAATGGAAGAAAAAAATCAGGGAGTAAATAGCTGGTTTGCTTATCATGCCTCCCAGTTTGATTTTGGTAGGTTCCGGAGAACACAGGTGGAGGATACCGAATTATAGCAAATAAAAGACTTAAACATAACAAAGCTACCTGAGGGTTTGGCTGAAGTCCCTGTGCAAACTGTGATTAACTGAATACCTGCCCTGGAATGCTGGTTTGGCAAGAAGTTATACACACATGAATGAATCTGTCTGCATACTTAGACACTGCAGTTAAACTTCTTTCTCATAAAAAAAAGGTACTATTTCCAACGTTTTTGAATATAGTTTGAGTCTGTCTGTTTTGATTTAAGCTCCTCATCCTCAGAAGATAAGTAAGGTGACAAGTGCCCTCCATGTGTAAGAAAGAGAGAGTAGGAAGAAGGGAAGCAGCAGCCAAGGACATGTTTGGGTGCATGAAGACAGCTAGGCAGGCTTTCTTCCCAAAAGTCAGTGTTCCTCTGGGAAATGGAGACTGATATTCCCAGTGTAAAGTGAGGAAGGTCTATTGATGTAAATTTACCTGAGCTTATATCCCAAAAGCTACAGGACCAACAGTGAAGAACTGGTCTTATGTTAGTGGTACTTAACACATAATATACTGAATATACTTAAAAGACATACAGTGGATTAAACATAAAACCAGAATTTTCAGAAAAGCCTAAGGGAACTGAAAGTCAGTGTTTTGTGAACACTTGAGGGATTGCCTGAGTGGGAAGATGGACCAGCATAATGGTAAAAGGTCGTTTCTGCTGTAGTTATTCAACTGGTGCAGACACACCCTTACTTACACTCACAACTCCCTTTAAAATGCTAACTATAAATTACACTTGTGACTTATTTTAATGTCAATTAATCCAGTCTTGAGATGGCTAGACAGTGATTATGTGTTAGTGTCTGTTAGACTGGTTTCTATATGATACAAAGCTGTGTATTATTGTGGGGGGCATGGTATAGTCAGAGGGGAAAAGTCATAGCTTGCTATCAAAGAGCTTACCCACTGAGTATATTTCCCGTCTTTTTACTTTATTTTTTGCTTCTTTCCATGTATATTCCATACATTATTAATAATTTGGATGCAAGACATTAACCCTACATCTACAGGGTAAGTCCAAAGCCATTTTACTCTATTTTCCTTCTTCCATTAGAGCGGGTCAGAGAGTATCTGAACATTTATTTGGGTACATTTCCAGCTGGAAACACCATAGCAAGTGTGTCCTGCACAGAAGAGCACACTATGGTCCTGGCTGCCTCTGGTTCACATGATGTGAGATGGATAGAAGTTTCCTCTGTCTTTCCTTATGCAGACAGGTCGTGTATAAACTTGCAGAAGAGAGGGACCTCGCCCTTGATTTATAATCAGGTCATGAGCTCATCTGTGCTCTAAAAGAGTCTATTGTCCAAATCTTTTTGGTTTTTCTCCAGGAAAGTTTTGCTGATACGTAGAGAACTGGCCCCAAACAAATAGCTTTTCCTCTCCCACGTTTATATAATTTCTGACCCTTCCCTGATTAGAATTTTTTTATCTCCTCACCTTTTTCTTCTAATTTTCCTGGAAATTCAAGACTTCTCAACAGCAATTATTTTTGCCCATGCCGGCATGTTGGGGGGGTCTGGTACTTGTGGCTGTCAGGAGGTTAAGAGGAAATATTTCCTCAAAGCTGTTGTATCACACAACCTGATTTTTTATTTATTTTTGTGTGTGGTGGAAGTATCACAAAATATGCTTTTTTTTTGGTCTATGCGGGGGCAGTGGTTATGTGACAGGTGAGTCCAGCAGTCCGCTTCCTTCAGCAGTTATGCCTAAAATTAGCCTCACTAGGAGATCACCAAGTTCATGTGGCAGCTACTGGGGAATCATTTAAATCTGCATACCCCAATCAGTAACATCCCTGTGACATTGTGTTTAATTAATCACCATTGTGATTAATTTTTTAATACAAGATTTTCCTAAAGATTTCCAGACCTCCTTCTTTTTTTTATTCAATGGGCACTGAAATCTCCCCATATAGGTGCACGCCATCCCTAGTCTCCACATACAGTTGCACATCATACATAGTAAACTTCCATATAGCAATTAAATTCAGAGACTTGGTGGAAAATGGCCAGTTCGTTTTGCTTCTACTTGTTTTGAGAAAAAGACTCCCCCCTCCTTCATCTGGATAGGCAAGATTGACATAAAAAAGTACTTCAAGAGCTGAACTCGTCTACTGAACACAAATACAGTGAAATTCTGTATATTTTAAATGTTTTATATGTCCTAGTCATATATAATTTATTGTGTTGTGAAGCTGAGCCCTTCTTTGAATGAAAATTTTACTGTCAGAGCCTGGGGTACTTTAGTCTGATGATTTAAAACTCTCAATGCGCTCGTAGCAAATAGCACTTTTTATTACAGCGTGTTTGTCCAAGAGGTCAACTTTCAGCACAGCAGGATTTCTTCCTACTGTAGAATTATTTCTGATGGCAAGACATCTCCCATCCTGATTCATCTGGTGCTGAATTCAATAGCCAACACGTTCTTAGAGGCTCATTAGACTGGACCTGACATGCACAAGAAAAGTGTGGAAGCTTCACCTTTTCTTATGCAAGCATCCTTGCTAGCAGATTATACAGCATGTTAAATGCTGTATGCCTGCTTACACCTCTTTGGTTTTAAGATTCGCATTTATAGTTCTGCTCCACTATTTAATTTTCTCAGAGATGATGTTGAATCTAAGCTGCCTTGTGATGATGTTAAATTCATTTTGGAGATGAGTAAAAGTGACTAAAATTATGTGCATGATTCCTGTGAAATATTGTATACTGAGCAGGTCCTAGATTAAAAGACAAGCTTGACTTTAAAGGTAATGTGATTAATTTCCTCAGCCAAAACCAGCTAGATAGTTTTCATGCTTAGGTTGATACAGTATAGATGCCCTATTACACCCATTTACAATCTCCATCCCTTTGCTCAGCCCCTGCTGAGCCTATTAAGTTGGTATCAAGTCAACTTGTCCCTTAGTGATAGTACACAAACTCTCAGAGTGCTGCAGAATTCTGCATCTGTCCTTTTACCTGTCACTTCAGCCTCCTTTTACTGATGTTAAAAGAAATCTTTACTGTCAGTCATATAACCAATTCACTTTGTTCACAGGCTGTGACAACCTTGTTGTGTTTCTCCCACCACTGAACCAACTTCTGTGAATTAGTATTCTCAAAATTTAGACTAGCTCATTAGTCTGAATAAATTTGAAAGGTTGCTGTTCACATTTTTTTTTAAACGTAGCTCAGCCTTGCTTGGACATAATTTAGGCATCTTTAGAAAAAAAAAAAAAAACAACACAAAAAAAAGCACAAACACAAAAATACCCCAGCCCAGCTCCCAAGTATTTATGATTTCAGAGCTAAAAGGTCTTTCAGTGACTTCATTTGAGCTAATAAAAATTAAATCAAATGTTCAAAGTTTTTTCCAGTCCTCACCTCTTTTTTTTCTTTTTTTTTTTTCTTTTTTTTTTAATTACTTTGGTATAATTGGAAAATTGGCTACACTTCCAGAAAAGAAAACAAAGGTTCAAATACCAATCTCAACCGGCTTTGTAGCTGTGTCCACCAAACTTGTTTCCACATTATCACCAAAAATATAGCATAAGATTTGTCCCTCAACTAATGAAATTTAACTGCACCTACCAGTTCTGTATATGTGACTGTCAGTGCACCAGTCTGACGAAACAAAAGAAATTTTTTCCCTCAAAAAATTGCCTATGATTAAGCAAAGAAACTACTATTTTTGCTTTTATTCTCAAAGTCCTACCAGCAAGAGCACTTAATTTTGTACTTTCATGAAATCATTAAGGTATTTCCACTCTATCCTGTCGTTTCTTTGTAAGGGTTGAAGACTGACTACCAGTGGACGTGACAGAAGATGCGTCTTCTGGTGATAAGAGAGTATAGGGACACCATTTTGTATTGTGCTTCCTTTCCAGGACATTATTATTAGGAAACCATAAGGGGCAGGGAAATTACTTTCCAGAAACAACAATCTGTGTAGTAAGTTGTACCAGTTGAGTACTTTTCCAGGAGGATTTCAATATTTTATAAACAAATTAAACGTAGAAGGAGATGATGATGCTACTTTGTGTTTGAAAAATTAAGTACAGGGGACTAAGTTTTTCTCATTCAGATTCCTTTCTTGTTGCTGAAATTCCACAAATTTCACTGGAGCCCCTTCTGAGTCACCCTCTTAATATAAAAATCCAGTCTGGAATCCAGGGGGGTTGAGTAATTTACCCAAGGTCACATCACTAGCACCTGGGCCTCAGAGTAGAGAATAGAGGTCCTTAGAGTTCCACCTAAAAGGGGCTAATGAAAACTCCACCATTAGCTGTAAAATAGAAATATAAAAATGTCTTTGCGTTAACATCAGCGCCTTAAAACTAAAAATGAGAGAGCTTGGCCAAAGAGGTCTGATATAACTGACTACAGAGTCAGGGTGGAAAATTATAAATCAATTGGATGAAATGATCCTTTGCTACAGACTAGAGAAGAAGTTTGGCTATGTCTCAAGAAATGGAGAATTACACTAGACATTAAGGGAACCAGAGATACTCTCAACAGTTCAGGGTGGATATAACTGTGCAATGGAGCAGAACAGATTAAAAATCCCAATCTAAGGAAGCATTAATATATAAAACTGCAGGAGAAAGACATGGTGTGATAGAAATAATGTGATGGTGCTCTTCGTATGCATTTGTTATGTTCAGAGTCTTCGCATCTTGCCTTTTCCGCTGTTTTCTCAATTCTTCCTCCAGCATGTGACAATATTGTTGCTTCTTCTTTCAGTACCAATGGCTTCTTCTGACACCACCGACTCATTGTGCCAGAAGCCACAGATATCCAGCAATTCCTAACTTGTCTTCATAGAGCAGAAGAGGTCAGTCATGTGGAATACAATTTTTTTCATATTTGTATCTTGGTTTGTTTACACAGACCTACAGTAAGTAGCGCCCTGAAAGAGAGATGGAGAGAAATACCACAAGGTGATACTTTCTTTTGGGCATTGCAGTGCAATAACTCCACCCTTTCAAGGGATTTCTGTCCAAGATTAAGGTATTGTTTGCTTTCTTCAGAATATTGCATAGAAAAGCAGCTGAAATTCACTGTTCAATCATATGAACGACTGTCTTTAGAAAAGTAGTACAAAGCTTCTTTTCACCTTCTCTTCACACCACAGCTACCATTTTCTTTCTCTTTCTCCCTTCCTTTTTTCCCACATACTCTTAAGCATTTGCTTCTCCAAATCTCAAGTCCACTGTCCTCTTCTTCACGTATTAGATATCAAACCTTTTGATCTAGTCAGAATAGTGGGCATAAAACCTCATAGGGAAAATGCTGGAAATCACTTGGAAACAGCTATTTCACCATAGTTTTCCTGTCTTCTTTCATTCTAGAGCACCATTGGAATGCATTAGTGGGCAGAAAATGTGTGCAAACACACACACACAAAGACTGTAAATAAGAGTAGAGGCACCTTTATGTATGAGTTTGAGAAAAATAATGATACTGAATTGGTTATAAAAACTGTATTCTCACCCTTTTTTTTAATTATTATTTTTTACCTGAGATTTTGCCTACTTAGGTAATAGTATTTACGTTCTCTTTCTCTTCTTTCTCTTTTGACTATCCCATCTTTGCTTTCTGGCCAACTTTCTCTTCATCCCTGGCTGCAATCCCCCAGTAAATTCTAGACATCATTACAACAGCTGCTTAGGAGTGGATGGGATTTGTCTCTGCATATCAAACCAGAAGGGTCTACAGATTTCTTTGTTGTAGCTGCAGTCATAACAAGGCCAAAATGGTCTGGGAAACACCTCATCTTTTGGATTTGCCTTAGATAGTCTTCTCTGGTTTATTTGCTTCCTCTTTTTTTCTCGTTAGATTTTTATCTTTCCTTCTTCCTTTCCCTTCTCATTTTCTCTCTCCGTATTTCATACCTAATTAATCTGGTTCTGTCCAGCACACTTTTATAGTAAGGAAGGTTCATGAAAAGAACTTTCAGAAGAAAACTGAGCCAATTTCCCTGGTAACTACCAAAAGCAAGTGAAAATGACAAACTGATTGACTACAGTGGATTGATTGATTCTGATTTATAGCTGAAAATTGGATCAAGTGCGTCCACATACACTTTCTCCAGGGACTAAAACAGAGGCAGACTGCTTCTGTCAGCAATCCTATACAACTCTCGTCATGTCACCTCATCTCTCCCTTTCTAATCCCATCTTCTGATTAAATAAAGATAGTTTTTAAAATATGGGTGCTTGTTGCCTTATCCCAGGCACATAACATGAATTTGAGGATACATATGGCTTATGCTTTATCATGCAATAGCGGTCAATTTTCTATACATTCTGGAATCACTGCTCAACTGTGCACACCTGCACCTCCCCCTTCACGTGCCTGTGTCTACCAGGTGTCCTCAGGTGGCTTTGCACATCAGCTTCCTCCTACTTACTGTTTTACTCCTGGATCTTACTGTTTTATTACTGAGTGGCAAAGGAGAACTAGCAGGACCTATTTACCCTAAATCTGATCCGGAAATCCTTATTTATGATGGCAACTCTTATTTGCTCGTGTGCACACGTTCCTATTGTCCTTTTTAGGACACCTGAATGAGAGGGGTTTGGAGGGCAATGCTCCTGTTTAAATCTGCTACCTTAGTCAACTCATTCCTGAGTTAAGTACAATTATAATTAGAAACATCAGCGTGTCCTAACCCAACTAGACTGTCAGAGGAAAAAAGGACTGAAAGATATTCACAGAAAATAGGGAAAAAGTTACAAACCTCCTGTTACAAATTTCAAAACTTTGAGACAATATGAAAGGTAAGGGTTCATTACTGTAGTATTTAGTTCTTTATAACACACTAAAACATGATTTATTGAAGAATTATAGTTTTCCCATGAAAAAAAATGAGGCAGCAGATAACATGATACCATCAGATGCATAGATCCCTGTGTTAGAAGGCCTTTTATGACTTTTGCTTCTGGAGAAAACTCACACATCCTGGAAAGCCAGGGTGCTGCCCCAGGAAGCACCATGGAAGGGGCTACTTGTGTACAGTTCTGCAGAGAGCAGCCTTGGTGGCTACCTCATTTCTGCAATTGTCAAAATCAATTCTGGGCTAAATCCAAATTTCTCTGCTAAGGAAAAGGGCAGGTAGGACTTGTATTTGAATATATGTTTTCCTGTCTGTCATTTTATTTTGGGCCTGGTCCAACAACCTCTAGCTATGGCTTTCATTCATGCTATGTGGTTATGGGTCTGAAAAAGAACAGGCAACAGCGTTCTACTTACAGTCCCATGGTCTTTCACAGTAAGTCCTAGATGTTGCTTACTGACATTGGAGGCTGAGTTTTGCAGAAAAACTGAGCTGGGGTAAGCTGAGGCTACTTTTGGCAGACACATGACAATGAGAAGCAAAGTCCAGGGAGCACATTAGGCTTCACTCCAGGAGTCACCTCACTCAGGTAAGGGGTGTGCTGTTACAAAACCACAAAGTAATTGCTTTCTCAAAATCAAACAAAGAAGCTCTAGCAGGATAAAAAGCTGAACTCAAACCTCTAATGTTCTGGGTTAAATGTTGTAAACATGAGAAAGTTCTTTCTCCTGTAAGCTGATCATTATTGAAATATCAGTGTTGATAGGCAAAATTACTGATAGCAAGCACGTATTTTCTGCTAGCTGTTGAGTCACCACAAAGTCCATGGAAATTTTGATGCAGTCTTCATCAAATTGGATTGAGCCTTAAATATAGGCTTTATTATTTTAAACATCTCAAATTCAAGGACTTTCTAGTTCTACAAAATGAACTCCATTGGCTAACAACAATCCTTTTACAATCAGGTCTTGTACTAGAAGGCAACTAAATGCCAGGTGCCCACGAAAGCTGCTCTGCCACTTCCCTCCTCAACTGGACAGGGGATAGAAAATGTAAGAAAGGGCTCATAGGTTGAAATAAGGAGAGAAGAAATCACTCACTGATTACTGTCAAGGGAAAAACAGACTTGTATTAGGGAAAATATATTAATTTATCATCAATCAAATAAGAGTAGAATAATGAGAAATAAAACCAAACCTTAAAAATACCTTCCTCCCACCTTTCCCTTCTTCCTGGGCTCAACTTCACTCCCAAACTCTCGACCTCCTCCTCCCCTCCAGGCAAAGGGGGGAGGAGAATGGAGGTTGTGGTCATTTGTCTCTGCTCCTCCTGCCTTCAAAGGTAAGGACTCTTCACACTCTTACCCTGTTCCATCATGGAGTGACTGCCATGGGAGACCATCCTTCACAAACTTCTCCAACATGGGACCTTCCCATGGGTTTCAGTTCTTCATGAACTGCTCCAGCATGGGATCCTTTCCATTGGATTTAGTCCTCCAGGAACAGGCTGCTCCAGCAGGAGTTCCCCACAGGGTCACAAGTCCTGCCAGCAAACCTGCTCCAGTGTGGGCTCCTCTGTCCATGGATCCACAGGTTCTGCCAGGACCTTGCTCCAGCATTTTTTTCCCGTGGGGTCACAGCCTCCCTCAGTCATCCACCTGATCCGGTATGAGGTGCTCCACAGGCTGGAGGTCGATCTCTGTTCCACCATGGATCTCCATGGGCTGCAAAGGGACAGCTGCTTCACCATGGTCTTCACCAGGGGCTGCAGAGGAGTCTCTGCTCTGGCACCTGGAGCACCTCCTCTCTCTCCTTCTCCACTGGGTGTCTGCAGAGATGTTTGTCTCACAGGGTGCCACTCCTCTTATTGGTTGCAGTTGCACAGGGTTGTTTTTGTTTTTTTCTTCTTCTTAAATAAATTATCCCAGAGACTCTACCACTGCTGCTGATGGCCTTGGTCTTGGACAGTGTCTGGTCTGTCCTGGAGCCATCTGGCATTGGTTCCATCAGACATGGGCAAAGCTTCTAGTAGATTCTCATAGAAGCCACTTGTTCAGTTACCCCACTACCAAAACCTTGCCACACAACCCAATACACAATTCCCTCCAGGAGCAAAAAAGTGACAAACTTTAAAAGGGCAGATTTTAAAACTATGAGGAAAATGGTTAACAGCAGGCTGAAGGGCAAAGTAAAAAACTTTAAAACCACAGAAACAGCCTGGAGGCTATTCAAGAACATTGTGTTAGAGGCACAGATGGTTTGTGTATCATTGAGAACAAAAACAAAGTAAAATGGTGAGAATAAAACTATGGTTAAGCAGAGAAGTACAGGGGTTTATTGAGGTTAAAAAGGCATCCTTTAAAAGCAGAAAATCTTCCTGAACAACCCAGCCAAATCAGGCCATCAGTCATGCTGGTGAAAGGCAAGTCAGCAATGATAAGAGTAGTAAGGAAGAGGTCAGCTAAAAGTAATGAGGATCTGGTAAGTAAAGACTCATATATATATATATATGTACTTGTACTATGTGGTTCTGGCACATTAAAGTTTGCAACAGAAATGTTTCATTGTCGTCTTGAGTTTCCATGAATTTCCACTCTTTCTTAAAGAAAAGATGCTATTATCCAATCAGAGACATGAAATTAGGAAACAAACAAAACAAAATGGTTCTGCAAAGATGCTAATGTAACCTCAAATTCCTTGCCTGGCTATATTCCATCTCCATCTTCCTCTCCAGGCCTACTCCCCTGGCTGCTAACATCTCATCCCTTCTGCCCCGGCCAGAGGGCAGGCCCTTTTGCTCTAGTATTCACTGGGAGCTCTAAATTCTCCCTGTAACAAGCACTTTGAACAAACTCTACTTGGATATGTTGAATTAATTATTTGCTAAGGATAGTCTCAATCAAAATAAATGTGTTCCCTGAATGTGTCGATATGCAAGAACTAAATTGCTGAGTAAAATTAAAGACCTTCAAGGATGCAGAGAAATGGTAAAATATAAATTCTTTTCAGCAATTTTTCTTCCCCTAAAAGACAATAAAGGATGCTTTCTGTGTTGGGTTAAAGGACTGAGAGAAATGAAAGGTAAAAAACTGGACACTATCCGTTAAGCTGAGAAATTTAAGTTTAACAGCTCTTGGTGGTTTATCAATGTGGTAACATAGGTAGTATGAGATATAATAGCAATTCATTAAGGCTATTGGTCAACAGCTGCCTGAACATGGGCTAGCAGTGTGCCTAAGTCGCCAAGAAGGCCACTGGCATTCTGGCCTGTATTCAAAATAGTGTGCCCAGTAGAAAGAGGGCAGTGATGGTCCCCCTGTACTTCGCACTGGTGAGACCACACCTCAAATCCAGTATTCAGTTTTGGGCCTCTCACTACAAGAAAGACATTGAGGTGCTGGAACATGTTCAGACATTGGCAACAAAGCTGGTGAATGGGCTGGAGCACAAGTCTTATGAGGAGCGACTGAGGGAGCTGGTGTTACCTAGCCTGGAGGAAAGGGGAATCAGGGGATATCTTATCTACCACTACCTGAAAGGAGGTTGAAGCAAAAGGGAGGGTCAGTTTTCCCGAGTCACAAGTGATAGTACAAGAGAAAAGGGTCCCAGTTGTGCCAGGGGAGGTTTAGATTGGAAATCAGGAAAATTTTGTTCCCTGAAATGGTTGTCAAGAGCTGCAAACAGTCTGCCCAGGGAAAAGGTGGAATCATCAGCCCTGGAATTACTTAAAAGGGGTGTAGATGCGGCACTTGGGAACATAGTTTAATGGTGGGCCTGGCAGTGATGGGTTAACGGTTGGACTTAATGATCTTAAAGGTCTTTTCAAACCTAAAAAATTATATGATTCTATGAAATCTGTGTGTAGATTGTGGCTTTTTAGTGACTTGTTCCAATGATTTCAGAAGAAATGGTTTCTTTGAAATGGGATGGAGATGGGAAACAATAAGTGCAAGAAACATTACTTAAACAGAGAAGAGCTGAGGCAACTTTTCTTCTTTATCTCTGCTGAGAGATGACAGGAAAGGGAGGAAAAGATCGAAAAAGATTACTCTGTAACCATCTCACAGAACATCTCCTGAGATTGTGTTTGTCCTTTCCCAGCACAGTTTTTGAGAGGACATGCTGAGTACTCCCCATTGCTTCAGTCAACAGAATGTCTTCCAGAGAGATGGGAACAGTGTCTGGAAGGAGGGAGCACAGATTGTGGGTAGGGAAAGAGGGAACTGGGGACAAGGCAATTGGAGGTACGGATCAGCTAAGGAGGGGCTGTGAGCAAGGTTTGGTTTATATGGGCAGAGTTTGAATAAACTTTTAACACTCTTGACCTCCAAAACCCCTGTGTACTTCATTAATCATCCTGTACACAGACAAGAACTTTCAGAACATCTGGCGCTTTCCTGAAGATCTCCGGTGTATAGGAACTTCAGCCTTTAATTTCAAATCACTGTGAACTTTAGATCAAAAGTTGAGATTGAGATTCTGCGTCACTCGCAAAAAGAGAAATTTTACATCTCCAGTACTTAGCAAAGAATATTTTTGGTTTTGTTTTTGGTTTTTTTGTTTATTTGTTTTAGGGTTTTTTTGTTGCTTTTGTTTTGTTTTGTTTTCCTAGTTTAAAGGAGAAATTACAGGCCACTAATCAACCATGGCACATGCACACACATACACTATTATATGTGATTACTTCTGCAATGTTACTTTATAAGAACCTTAGACACTTCAGTTTGATTAACACTTTGATAAAACATACATTTTCCTTGAAGAAAGTAAGGCCATGGGGATTTGTTAAAAATTCAGAGAAGTAAGATACTGCGAAAAGATTTAATTCAGTTACAGTAAGTAATACATTCTACCAATGTAATATGGACACAAAAAAATGTTAGATCCCTTGAGAAATTAAGATAATATTGTTTGATCCTTTTGAATGTATATAATTGCATTTATGTATGTGTCTCTATGTATATCGGTATTTATGAAAATGTTGTTATGCATGTCCCTGTGTATGAATACATTTATAAAACAAACCCATGACCATAAATCAGCTCAACAGAAACAGTATAAAGTGGACTACTGTACATCTTTATTTAAAATACGTAGGATGCCAAGACAGAAAAACACTAAAAAAGAAATACATATTGTTTTTGAAGCTGAAGCATCAATATGGTTGTAATTTTAATGTTTCTTGCTGGAAAAAGGTCATCTTTGGCGAGGTCGGGTTTTTCTTAAGGTCATTTCACATTGAGATATCTGCCTGCTTTTGACATTTCATCTAGAAGAGGCACAACTATTCTGACACATGAAATGGGTTCTTTACAAACCCAATGGCTATTTCTATCAACATCTGTTATTCTTACACAAAAGGGGAATATGCATTGATTGCAAACAAGGCTCCACATTTTTTTGAGAATATTAATATATATATATTTTGTGCTTAAAGGTACAGCAATGTCCATTTGAAATAGAAGCAGAAGACAACACTGATCTATAAAAGACTGAAAAAAAGGACCCCACGGATGGCATTCTTTGCTTTTAAATAGAATTAAATAAATTTAAAGATGTTAATTGTTGTTAGTAAATTGTCACACTGATTTCTGTAAAGCAGCAGGGTAGTGAAATTCACTAAGCATTTGTGTAATTACTTTGTGATATTGACACAGAAAAAGCACAATAAAAATCTTTTTTTTTGCGTTTTGTGTGGGATTTTTAATTGCATATTCATTTGCAAATTTCAATTCCCTCTAGCACTGAGTATGATAGGAAAAATCTGCTGCCATATAAATCTCCCGCCTTGTACCCCCATATTTTCAAACCCCAGAATTGTGTTTGTGGAATAACATCTATGTAATTAAAATAAACTCTGTCAAAGTAATGCAGACTCACAGGGACAACTGAATTTTCCTGTAAGACAATCCGGGATTCCGCTGGCTGAACCCTGGCCTAGTTCAAGAGCGGTTCACAGAATTGCTTTCCCAAGGAATATCAGAGGGAATACCATAGTTTGTCCTTGCTCCTTGCTTGCAGACAGCTCAATTAAGCCTTGGACAATCCAAAGCAGAAACATTTACTTGATCATTCAATAGTTAGGATTCACTAATGGAGTGTTGTGACCAGTCATGTGATGTTATGTCTGTTCCCATATTGATGGTCTGTTCTTTATGAGCCATTGCTTTCTCCCAAAATGAATGCCATTTTATCAGAAAACAGGTTTTGTTTTCTGGTTATATTCCTTTGGCAAGTGCTCAAATCTGCTGTTTGTGGATGTTTGTAGGAACATAGCTTTGCTCACATAAGTATTTGAGAACAGCGAATAATAAAGGACATGAACAGGCTAAATCCAAACCCCATTTTCTGATCTAACAAGCTGCAAGTGAACAATTTTGGTACTATCTCTACTGGCTCACTAATCTTGCAGCATCAGTAAATTCTACATGTTTGGAGTCAGTGTGCTTCCCTACTTACTAAAAGTGTCATATTTATCTTCTCTGCGATATGAGGATGTATGGCAGACATCCATAGTGAACTACAGGTGATGCTTTTCTGGATTGAAGCCATATGTCCACAGGGCATTGAAGAGGTTAATATCCAGGTGTAAGAGCTTTATTGTTGGAACATGTTCTTCGTTTCTTCCAGACTTTGGCCTCAAATAAATGTCTTTAACATATTTATTAAAGTGTCATAATTAGATTTATTTAATGTACTGGGATCCAGAGTATGTCAGCTCTGTGGATGACTGAAAAATGCTTCATCAGCTTTTGGTGGCTTCATAGGACAGCAGGGCAACCTGCTCCTATTTCCCACTAATGCATCTCTGTTTGAAAACAGGGCTTGAACATTCTCAGTTTAAGCATTTACTGATAGAAGGAAAGTGAAAACACTCTCATGTTCTGCAGTATTACATTTGATTAGAAAATAATGCTTGGGGTATGAATACACTGAAGTAATGTTAAGGAAACATTAAAACACCCTTAAATCTGCCATTTTGTGCCTAGGGCTTTACAGTTATCATTTGAAATGTGTGGCCTTTTTTTAAATGGTTCCACAAGAGTAGCAACTGCTGCATAATGGTACAAATAAAAATAATACTGAGGTGTAAGTAGTGGCTCTGATAGTTGTACATATTCTCATGTAAAGCCTGGAGTGGCAAAATAGATAGTTTTCCAACTTTAAATAACATCATCAATACACCTTGCTTAGCCAGACCATGGAGCACAGAAGTAAGGAAGTACAAAAAATAGCAGCTCGGGTTGTGCCAGTGTGTATATAAGTACAAATTTGAAGTCTCTGTTTTTATATAAGTAGTACACATAGAATAAATAGGAGCCAGATGAGACTATGGTCTATAATGGAAAAGCAAAACAAATTCATGTCCCACACTGATTTATCACATAGGACAGCCTGAAGCTACTTTCAGCAATCACACTGGTAACACATAGACAAAAGGGGATTTTGGGGAGCTGTCACCTGATAACTAATGAGAATTTCAACTCTGGGCTTAGAAATATAGGGAGTATTTATTATGCTGGTAGGTAATCTAGCAACAAAGAAAAATTGTACAACAGGGGTCTACACATGTTTCACTTAAGGAGAAGTAGAAACTACTTCACACCAGAGCAGACCAAGCTTTCTACCAGGCCAGTTTAACATTTCCTCCATACTGGTTTGCACAGTTGTCCCCTCTGGCAGTAATCCCCACAGCTTCTGGATCGCAAGCAGCATAAGGGTTCTCTCTTCATTGCACTGTAATAGTATAAGATTGAATGATGATTGCCTGTCCCACCTGAGAAATCCAGATTTATTTTTGCAAGGATAAGCCTAACAATGAGTCACATGGCTTTCAAAAATAACTGAAAATATATGGATGTAATTTTCCTCCAAAAAGAGTCGATCAGATGTTTCACTGGGCAGAAGATACACAGACATGTTCATTACCGAGGCAATGGGCCCTGTGCTATTTGCTTGTCTTTATTCTCCTGCCCCAACCAGTTAAGAACAAAATGTGAGTAGAAAAGGGGAAAAAGGGTATGTATCTACTTGCATTGATTTGAATAGCAGGATGATAGTTATCTTCAGTCACTGAGGTGGGTGGGAGCCTGACACTGAAAGAATTTGAGGAGGAAGTGCTGAGTGAGAAAATCACTGCCTCAGAGAAAGGTTGCATACTCGGCACACGGAAAATATGCACTCTGTAGGTGGGTATTTAGTAGACTAAGGTAAAAGAAGGAATATGCAGAAGGAAAATTGAAGAAAGATTACACAGAGGAGAAGAAAGTGAGCTGTCTGAAATGACCAGCAATGGTCATTGGTGCCTTTGCTGATGCCACTGCATATTGATCTGTCTCTTGTTTTGGGATTTTAGACTTCCCTTACTCCTTCCTATACAACCTCCTATTGAAAGGAAAGACCAAAGGAATCATTCTGAGTATCTTTCTCATCATAAACCAGTGATTCAAATTCTTTCTTCCATTTTCATCCTTTGTTGATTGAGTTGTCAAGCACCCAATCTTGGCAATAGAAGCTGAAATAAGCAATATCTTCATAGCTTTGCCATGCTGTGTCAGTACTGAATAACTGATCCTTATCGACTACATGCTGGGTCCAATATTCAGCTGACTTCCTTTGGAATTTTTATTACCAGTTTTTATATGACACTCAGAAAGGCCTTACCCACAATGAACTGTAAACTTGAATTCTGCTTTTCCTAAAAACCTGTTGTATTGAGTCTTGCTGAGACGGAGTTCATTTCCCCACAGTAGCCCTCACAGTGCTGTGCTTTGCATTGGTAGCTAGAAGGGTGTTGATAACACAACAGTATTTTGGCTACTGCTGAGCACAGCATCAGCACTGTAATATTCCTTCCTCAATCGAAGGCAAGATCCTTGGAGGGGACACAAGTAGGCCAGCTGACCCAAACTGACCAAGGGGATATTCCATACCATAAGATGTCAGCTCAGAAAAAAGGTTAAGGCAAGGAGCAGGAAGGGGGACATTCATTGGAGCAGACAATGGCTGCCTGCTAAGGAATAAGCTGAAGCCCTGCTTCTAGGAAGTGACCAACCATGGTTGCTCATAGGAAGTAGAGAATAAACTGTGTTATCTTTTGCTTTGCTTTTGTGCACACAAGCTTTTGGTTTTGCTTTTGCTTTAATTAAACTGCCTTATCCCAACTCGTGAGTTGTTTTCCATCTTATTGTCTCCCCTGTCCAGCTGGGAAGGGGAGTGATGGACCAGCTGGGTGGGCACCTGGCATCCAGCCAAGATCAACCCACCATACCCATAGAAAGCAGCAGAAAGAACTCTGGAGGAGTTCTGCCTATAGCAACAAGTACCTGAGGCCATTCTCAAACTGTGCTCTGCAAGTTGCACTATAACATGTCAAAAACTCTTGGAGTTTCACCAGAGATTTACTGGACATGAAATCTAGCACATCGATAATCCTGTTGATGGCAGTAGAAACAGAAGTAAAAATGTTTTGGTATGCATAGTGGTATGAGAACATTTGTGCTGCAAAGACAGTGCATACATTGATAGCTCTAGTTCCAACAGTGGATAGAAGAAAACCCTTCCTGACATCTCCTACTTACTCATATGCAGAATACTGAGACAAAAAAAAAAAAAATTCACCTGGAACTCATTCCCAGATCCAACACATCCCCTAATACAGTGCTGTTACAGTGTTGTTAACTGATACAGTTAATAAGTTCAGAAATTTAATCTTTTTGGCCCAAATGGAATTCACTTCTCTGATTCCTCAGTTACTGATGCTTCAATTCAGTGATGATAACAACAGGAAAACCTCAACAATCCCTTGATTCCTTTTTCATGGCAGGTGGTGGGGAGGAGGGCAAAGGCTAGAAGGAGAGACAGGAAGGAATCCCATTTCATTTGACTGTCATCCATTTTAGATGTTTCTGGATATGATGCCTCCAGTATGTTTTCCATCACAGCTGTTTGATATTGAATGTTATAAAAGTGTATTTCCACTACTGCTCAAAAAAAAACCCCAAGGCTGTTTCTGGAACAACGTAAAATGTCTTTACGTGAAACATTCAGATGATCTTATAGTTTTGAAGTCATTCTAGTAGGGAAACATGCTCTAGGGTCATGGATTCCTAATTTTTGCCATCCTTCTAGTACCGTATGTTTTTATAGTTTCTATGAATGAATTAATCACACACTTGAGGGCACACAGGTTTTGCATATGATTTTACCTCGATAGCATTTTACTAAGTTATCAAAATCTAACCTTTTTTAGGGAAATCAGAGATTACCTATTATACCTCTCGGGTCAAACACCACTCCTTCATTAATGTATTCTGGTTGTTTCTCCCAGTAATGTATATATATACTTTTATCTCACTTTTCCAATACAGCTATGAGAGAGCATCATAACAAACCACCTCTGGCACCTCATCTTCAATCAGAAGAGGAATGACTATTCTCAAGAGTCCACAGCTCCACATTATTAACATTCTGTCCCTGCATATCCACATCTAACCTTATCTTATTTCTTGTTTATGTGGAGTCTTTCATCTTTGCATAATTTTTTTAAGCGGGAAAGAAGAATAAGAGTAAAGCACTCTACTGTATAACTGATTTTACCCCAGAAGTAGAAAGTCTAACTATCTTTTCCAACTTTTTTAGAAGCTACTCTTAAGCTA